TAAACCTCTGATAATTAAGCGAGGTCGGCGATACCCTGGGATGTCGCATTAATCGACTAGTAGAGGGTGTCGCGTGATCGATAGGGTTCGGGACGTGACACAATAGGGGTCACTCATTTTAGTTGTTAGAGGGAATGACTTCCTTAGTTTTATATTTAAAGAAACAAATCAATCCGACGTTACCAAAGGAAGAAAAAAAATAACCCATGGGTAATTGAACCGCATGTTTTAGATGGTAGATTGTCGCGACCCTCTTTTTTCGTAGGGGAAAAAGAAACTTAGGGGTATTGTCTAATGGCGGGCCAACGGCCCTCGATTATTAGGCGCAAGCTCTTCGAAACCCATGCCTCATGCAACATTGGGTTTATCATTTTATGTTCTTCAACCTAAGTAATTCTAAGAGTCACCGCTAGCCTTTTGGGGTTGGCTAGGAACTAAACAAGACACAGGATTTTTATCTCGTTTTCCACGAAACCAAAGATTCTTCGTACGGGGACTTGATTACGCTAATATCTATTAGCGCCATTTCTGTACCTCTAACTAGTTGGTTGTTTACCTAAGTGATCATGCAATCTTGATTTTCAATTATGGTCCTAAAGGTCTCAAAGCCATCGAGGTGATCAAACAATTGTTTTTGTTGAGTCATTTTCATTCATAGTCTAAGCTAATTCTATCCTAGTCAAGAAAAAATAACAATCAATTTATTGAAGAATAGTTGTGACATCCTAAAATTTGCCCATTTGGGATTTATGAAATGCTTGGTTTTATGAACGTACTTGTAGTTAGTTCTCACCCGGAACTGATCATTCCTGGGATACTAACCATTAGGGAAAGGCTAATTAGGGATTTGAATTCGTGCGACTAAAGAAAATTCGATCGTGAATTGATTTTCGACCATAGAATCGTCGATGTGACATTTTGAGCCAAGGTAGGCCGATCTTAGGGTAGTGATGGGCCGATTCGTCACTGTCATACAAGTGGATCACGGGTGATTCCGTTTGACCACAAAATGAATTGACGAATGATCCAGAACCTATACCGAATGATCGTACCCGACGAAACTAGCGATCGAACCTCGCGATTACTTGACAACCGAAGTCGTCACGAACCGAATGAACTTGCATGTGACTTGATTTATTATCAGTCACGGGTCGAATATGCGAATTTCCCCAAAAGCCACCCGTTAGTTTGAGAAATGCTCAAGTTACGTTAAATAAAATTCAATTATTAATTAGAGCCTAAATTGGGCATCGGAAAATTAGGAAGTCATGACGGGACATTAGGACGACGTTGTGGTTGGAACGTACAGCTTTGGATTTTCCCGAATCCTTCAAAAAAATTCAAATTCGGCAAGAAAATGGAAAAGTGACCATTTTACCCTTGGAGGTTTATAAAGGGCAAGTGTTAGAGGGGAAGGGCATTTTGGTCATTTTGCCCTAATTTTTGAGTTGGACAATTTTGCCCTTGGAATTTTATGAAATTCCCAAATTGCCCTTGGATATTTTTTGAAAAGATTCGATCTCGGCCGTCGATCTCAAAATAAGATCGAATCTCGACCGTCGATTTAATTTGTGAGAGAAGGGAAAGATGGTCTTTTGGGCCTCAATTATTGCCTGGGACTATTTAAGTCCAATTCTCTCTCTCTCTCCTCATTCTCTCTCCATTTCCTTCGGCAAACGCCCCCTCCTCACCGAACCGACCGCGCCTGCCCCTTGGCAGCGCCACTGCCGCTCGCCGGCCATCTCCGCCGTGCCGCCGCCGCCCGTCACTGAGTCACCAGCCCCTCACGCTGCCGTCCTTCTCTCTCTCTCTCTCTCTTCCTCTCTCGTGGCCATGAACCGTGGCAAGAAATCCGCCGTCCAGTCCATCCGCCGCCGTCGCCGAGCCACCACTCGCCGCTGCCGCCGAGCCGCTCACCACCACTCACCGTTGACCGCCGCCTATTTTCCGCTCTAGCCGAGTTATTCTAGAGTCCGATAAGTCACGCCCTAAACTCTATTTAGCACTTCGGGTATCGACGGACGAAATTAGGGGTGGAATCGGGTTTAATTAGACGCGATTTTGGCGAAATTCGGGGCTGTTTATGGAGTAATTGTGTGGACTGATTTAGCGGCCGGTATTGACTGATTTTGAGAGTGAAATTGTGAATTTTCGGGGCTGAATTGAGGCCGAGTTCATTGCTGGAAATTGGGATTTGTAGTGGCGAGCCTATGGTTGGATTTAAGGGCTATTGGAATCGGTTTAGTGCGTGGTATGGTGGCTGAAATGTGAGGTTCGTTGTGGCTTGAATTGAGTGACAAAATGTTGAAATTGTGCCTATGAATGTGGCTATGTTTGTGGGCCTGTGAGTGGCCTTGCGTGTTTATTGTACCGTGACTTAATGGATTGAAATATGCTTTGTTACGTGCACGACTGGGCGCCTGGGCCGAATTGAATTAATTGAAAATTGGCTGTGTTGAATGCTTATTGAGCATGAGAAATGTGTGTGAATTGGTGCGTGCACGGACCACGTGTGATTGGCCAATTTATTGACAAGTGGGTGTTGAGCATGTGAACGAGTGAGAAAGCGGTGCGGTGTGATACGTGTGATAATGGAAATCCCTGAGGCGGTACCATTACGCGGGGATATTTATCCGTCCTGAGGCAGTACGACTACGCGGGACGATGCCCGGTATTACCGGAGGATGGCCAACCTGAGGCGGTACCATTACGCGGGTTGTATCGTAGGTGGTAGGTGTTGAGCCTGAGGCGGTACCACTACGCGGGGAAGGTACACGGCCTGAGGTGGTACCACTACTCGGGCCGAGAAGTGTTGTGAATATAGCCAACCTGAGGCGATATCATTACGCGGGTTGTGTACTAGGTGACGAATGTTGAGCTTGAGGTGGTACCACTACGCAGGCAAGATACATGGCCTGAGGCAGTACCATTACGCGGGGCCCTGAAGTGTTATTATGAATTAGTCGCAGTGGACCTGAGGCGGTACCATTACGCGGGTCACTGGCGAGTTGGGTGGAAAGAGTATGATAAGGCCGGAACGAATGCATGAAATAAAGTTATAACGTGCATGTGATTGGCAATGGTGTGGTTGTGACTGACGTGCAGTTTGCACGCTGGAAAGGCCCAGGTAAGCATAATTGTGTGCCTGCTATGTGATGGCTGAATGTGATTGTGTTTGTGGTTGTCTGGAGGTACGTGATAGCCTAGGTGGGGTTTAGGGTGTGTGCTTATTGAGATGTAATCTCATGATTGTTTCAACCACCAATTTCAAAACCCCGGCCTAAGCAATGAATCCGCCACTACCGCCACCTGAGCGTTTTGGAGTACCGATGCACATCGACTACAATGTCGTAGAGTATCCTATAGATGAGAATATGACCTAGGTTAAGCATACGACGATAGTTTGGGTAGACATAGGACTACCCCTCTGGCAGTCTGATACCTATACTGCGTGGTTCTTCCGAGACGGGGTAGATGAGTTCGGTCCCGTCCGAGGATTTGACGTCCCCTTTGATGGAGTTGGGGATTGGGACCCGTCTGTTATACCCCCGCTCGATGGGGAGATGACTAGTTTGGAGACTAGTCTAGCGCAGTCTGGACTGCAGCAAGCGCCTGCAGCACCTGAGCCTTCGGGGGCCGAGCACGAACCAGAGCCTGAAGAATCGCAGGCGGGGTACGATCCGATGGACGTGGATCTTGAGGCGATCCCGGAGGAAGAGCCAGAAGAAGAAGAACCCGAGGTAGAACCTGAGGATGAGCCTGCTAAACTTGAAGAAGAACTAGAGTATATACCCCCGTATGAGCAGTGGATTGACCCCGAATTTGTGCGGAAAAGGACGAGTCTGATGAGGAGCCTATTGAAGAGGAGCGGGATGAGGTTCTGGCGGAATCGGGTGATATAGACCACCCGATCGAGATCGAGGCTGAGCCGGAGTCTTCAGAGGAGCAGACAGTCCAGGGGGACTCAAACTCGAGCGCTGAAGAATCAGACTCGGAATGGATGCCAAGTAGATGGCGTAGGGGTTAGAGTAGGGGTTGGGAATAAGCTTTTTAGAGTGTGCCATTTTTTATGATAGAATACCCAGGTTATCGATCTTTTTGGTTATCGATGGTTTATAGTTCGGTGTGCATATGTATATGGTGGTTTGTAAATTGTAAATATTATATATAAGTTTGAATGAGGAAATGGATATGTGTATTCTCCCTGTTTACCCCAGTTATTATTGTCCGGGTATTTGCGGTTTCCGCTGATCGTTTTAAATCTCTGATAAGTTTAACTGGGTCGGCGATACCCTGGGACATTGCATTATTCGACCGGAGAAGTGTGTTGCATCCTCGATGGGGTTCGGGGCGTGACATCGCTGTTTGTTTTGGTATCAGAGCGAGGAAAGCTTGATCTAAACTGGTCGAAGTTTGGAGTGATAAGGAGCAGAGACTCTGGGGTAGTAATTTAGGGAGACCTTAGGGAGTCATAGAGCGGAATAAGCTACACGTGCCTCCAGATTGTTTGTTGTTATTGTTGGGTGAATTGATTGTTGTGATGATTGAAAATGCTGGTGCGTCTGGACCTGAGGTAACTACACAAACCCTATTGATTGTGGCCTTGTGCTTGTGGTGATGGATTGCCTGCTGAGTGAATTATTGCGTTAATTCTCTGCTTAGGACTAGAATGATCTCGTTGGCCTAGGTTTCTAATTCCTGAGTGGAATTATAGCAGGTAGTCGAGTGGTAGGATCGTGAGGATGAGTTCACGAGGTAGAGGAACTAGGGGTCCGTCCAGCTCGCGAGCCCGAACTCGACCTGTAGAAGATCCTAGAATGGAAGCGGTCATGAGGACCCTAGAACATATCGGTAATCTGATAGGACAGCAGACTCAGAAACGAGCTGCTACGATTGCCCAAGCTGCCACGATTGCCCAAGCTGCCGAGGCCACTGTGGCCGCTGCTGCCAATAATAATAATGGGAATCAAGGGCAGGGGCAGGTGAATGCTAATAGACAAATGCACCAACTAGTCGAGCAGTTTATAAAATTGAAGCCTCCTAAGTTTGACGGTAGAGGCAATCTTGAGGGTGCATCGTTGTGGGTGGAGGAATTAGAAAAAGCTTTTGAAGTCTTGGGATGTACAGATGAGGAGAAAGTAACATTAGCCGTCTATCAATTGCAAGAAAATGCAAATGATTGGTGGAAAGCCACCAGAGGAATGATATTCTCGAATGGTACAGCCCGAACTTGGGCGATGTTCGTGGAAGCCTTTAATGATAAATATTTTTCTAAGAGTGCCCGGGAACAAAAATTATCTGAATTTATGAGGTTGCATCAGGGGCAGAGAACGGTGGATCAGTACGAGGCCGAATTTGCTCGGTTGTCAAAGTTCGCCCCTAAGATGGTCGAGGACCCGTTGGATAGGGCTCGAAGGTTCCGAGATGGCTTGGAACCGGACTTTCGCAGCCAAATGATTCCATTAAATCTGAGAGGGTATAACGAGATTTATGATAGGGCTCAAGCAATTGAGCGAGACTTGGCGGATAGGGCCGCCGCTTCTGGGTCGAGGTTTACCCAAGGTAGGGACAATCATCAATTAGGAAAGAGGCCAATGACGGGTAATAGACGTTTTGTCCCTCCGGCTAGAAGGAATGTAGGGAAGCCGGCCCGTAATCAGAATGGTCCATGTCGAGTGTGTGGGGAAAGACATGGAAATGGACTTTGTCCAACCAGGGGCGGAGCTTATTTTGGATGTGGTGGATTTGGTCATCACATAAGATTTTGCCCCAATCTCCGGCAGAATAGATCGCCTGCGTTGTCGCCACCCCGAAACGGGAACCAGACTGAAGCGGTCCAGACAGCTAATCAGAATAGGCCACCGGCGTAAGGACGAGTGTACGCCATGGCGAGAAGAGAGGTTGAGAACGCGCCAAGAGTTGTCACAGGTACGGTTTCTCTGTGCAATCATGCTGCATATGCTTTATTTGACCCTGGGGCGTCACATTCCTTTATATCTGAGCAATTTGTTGAGTTGATTGGTATAGAACCACAATTGCTTGATGTTGTGTTATGCGTGACGACTCCCTTGAATGATAAGATGCTAGTTTCATTGGGGTGTCCGAATTGTAAGATTGTGATTGGGGATAGGGAGGAAAGGATTGATTTAGCGGTTCTAGCCATGTACGATTTTGATGTGATAGTAGGCATGGACTGGCTGTCTAAGCAGAGGGCCGTAATGAATTGTTATAGCATAGTGATCCAATTTAATCCCGTTGGACATCCGGAATTCAAATTTGTAGGAAATCGAGGGAGACCCTCGATTCCATGGATTTCGTCGCTAGAAATGACTAAGTTGTTGAATGAAGGGTGTTAAGGATTTCTAGTGGCTATAGTTAATTCGACGGTTGAGGAGCCGAGGCTAGAGGGTATAGCCGTGGTGTGCGAGTATCCCGATGTCTTTCCTCAGGAATTGCCGGGATTGCCACCGGAAATAGAAGTAGAGTTTATAATCGAGTTGGCACCTGGAACTGAGCCAATCTCGAAGGCACCTTATAGAATATCGCTGTCGGAGTTAAACGAATTAAAGGTGCAAATGCAAGAATTGTTAGACAAAGGATTTATTCGTCCGAGTGCGTCCCCGTGGGGAGCGCCAGTTTTATTTGTGAGAAAGAAAGATGGATCGTTGAGGTTATGTATCGATTATAGGCAGCTAAATCAGGTGACGATCAAAAATAAATATCCCTTGCCGAGAATTGATGATTTGTTTGATTAGTTACAAGGGGCTTCGGTGTTCTCTAAAATTGATATGAGAACCGGATATCACCAATTGAGGATTAGGAAGGAGGATATACCGAAGACGACATTTAGGACGAGATATGGACATTATGAATTTACAGTAATGCCGTTCGGATTGACAAACGCCCATGCTGCCTTTATGGACTTAATGAATCGGGTGTTTAAGGAATTTCTAGATCAATTTGTGATCGTTTTCATAGATGACATACTGGTGTACTCGAAGAGCCTAGAGGAGCATGAGTTTCACTTGAGTAGAGTATTGCAGACCTTGAGAGAGAACGCACTGTATGCTAAGTTTAGCAAGTGCGAATTCTGGCTCAATCGAGTAGCGTTCCTCGGACATGTGATTTCGGGGGAAGGAATCTCAATAGACCCAGCGAAGATTGAGGCTGTAATGAAGTGGCCGAGACCAACGATGGTAACAGAGGTTTGAAGCTTTCTGGGTCTAGCAGGATATTATCGTCATTTCATGGAAGGGTTTTCAGCAATAGCGACGCCGTTGACACATTTGTTGAAAAAGGAAACTAGGTTTGAATGGACCGACAAATGTGAAAGGAGTTTTCAGGAATTGAAGCATAGATTGACAACGGCACCGGTATTGACTATTCGATCAGGACCTGGAGGGTACGAAATTTATAGCGATGCGTCGTTGAAAGGATTGGGGTGTGCACTCATGCAGAATGGGTAGGTAGTGGCCTACGCGTCAAGGCAGTTAAGACCGCATGAGTTGAATTACCCGACGCATGATTTGGAATTAGCCACAATAGTATTCGTCTTGAAGATTTGGCGACACTATTTATGCGGAGAGAAATTTCAGATATATACAGATCATCAGAGTTTTAAGTATCTGTTTTCTCAAAAGGAATTAAACATGAGGCAGCGTCGATGGATGGAGTTATTGAAGGACTACAACTGTGATATACTATATCATCCCGAGAAGGCCAATCGGGTAGCCGATGCACTGAGTCAGAAGTCCAGCATCGCACATTTGATGGTCAAGGAATGGACATTGTTAGAAAAAGTACGAGACTCGGAGTTTAGATTCGAAGTAAGTCAAGTCTCGAGCTTGCTGGCTACGTTAAGGATTGAACCGGAGATCCAGGCTAAGATCAAGACTTTACAGTCTACGGATCAAGAAATCCAAAGGATTCTAGAGATGGATGAGACCAACAGAAAGCCGAACTTCTAGATATCCGAAGATGGGATACTGGAGTTCCGTGGACGAGTATGTGTGCAGGACGATGCGGAACTTAAGGAAGAAATTTTGTCAGAGGCGCATCGTAGTAGTTATAGTATCCATCGAGGTAGCACCAAAATGTATCAGAATTTGAGGCAGTACTATTGGTGGAATGATATGAAGGTAGACATAGCCAGACATGTGGCCAAATGTCTGACATACTAGCAGGTGAAGGCACAACATTGTAAGCCCGGAGGATTATTGCGACCTTTGGAAATCCCAGAATGGAAATGGGAGCATATAACTATGGATTTTGTATCGGGATTACCAAGGAGCCAAAGAGGCCATGATACTATTTGGGTGATTGTCGATAGATTGACCAAGTCGGCACACTTTTTGGATGTGCGAAAAGACTTCGCATTAGATCGATATGCTGAGTTGTATGTGCAGCAGATAGTTCGTTTGCATGGGGTACCAGTGACGATTACCTCAGATCGTGATCCTAGGTTTACCGTCAATTTTTGGAAAAGTCTGCAGACGGCATTAGGATCAAAGCTGCAGTTTAGTACAGTTTACCACCCACAAACGGATGGTCAGTCTAAAAGGACGATTAAGATTTTAGAGGATATGCTTCGGGCATGTGTGTTGGATTTTCAGGGTAAGTGGGAAGAGCAATTGCCCTTAGTAGAATTTGCATATAATAATAGTTTTCAGCAGAGCATAGGAATGGCGTCCTTTGAAGCGCTATATTGCAGGGCTTGTAGGACGCCCGTGTGTTGGGACAAAATAGGAGAAATGAGTATAATTGGGCCAGAGTTAGTTCAACAGTCAATTGATGCTGTTAAGGTGATTTGTGAAAGGCTGAAAACAGCTCAAAGCCGTCAAAAGAGTTATGCAGACAGAAGGCGAAGACTGTTGGAGTTTCAAGTAGGGGATCACGTATTCCTTAAGGTATCGCCCATGAGAGGACTATCCATATTTGGTAAGAAAGGGAAGTTGAGTCCGAGGTACGTGAGACCTTTTGAGATTTTAGAAAGGATCGGAGATTTAGCGTATCGCCTTGCACTTCCGCCCAATTTATCGCAAGTGCATAATGTATTCCACGTATCGATGTTAAGGAAATATAAACCGGACCCAACTCATGTATTGAATTATGAAGAGATAGAAGTTGACGACAAGGTGTCGCATGCCGAAAGACCAATAAGGATCGAGGATCGAAAAGAGCGAGTTTTGAGGAACAAGACGATCCCGATGGTCAAGGTTGTATGGGAGCATCACGGGACTGAAGGCGCGACTTGGGAAAGTGAAGAGATAATGCAACGTCAATACCCCCATTTATTCGAGTAGCTAGTTGGATTGTAAATTTCAAGGACGAAATTTTTGTAAGGGGGGAAGAGTTGTGACATCCTGAAATTTGCCCATTTGAGATTTATGAAATGCTTGGTTTTATGAACGTACTTGTAGTTAGTTCTCGCCCGGAACTGATCATTTCTGGGATACTAACCATTAGGGAAAGGCTAATTAGCGATTTGAATTCGTGCGACTAAAGAAAATTCGATCGTGAATTGATTTTCGACCATAGAATTGTCGAGGTGACATTTTGAGCCAAGGTAGGCCGATCTTAGGGTAGTTATGGGCCGATTCGTCACTGTCATACGAGTGGATCACGGGTGATTCCGTTTGACCACAAAATGAATTGACGAATGATCCAGAACCTATACCGAACGATCGTGCCCGACGGAACTAGCGATCGAACCTCGCGATTACTTGACAACCGAAGTCGTCAAGAACCGAATGAACTTGCACGTGACTCGATTTATTATCAGTCACGGGTCGAATATGCGAATTTCCCCAAAAGCCGCCCGTTAGTTTGAGAAACGCTCAAGTTACGTTAAATAAAATTCAATTATTAATTAGAGCCTAAATTGAGCATCGGAAAATTAGGAAGTCACGACGGGACGTTAGGACGATGTTGTGGTTGGAACGTACAGCTTTGGATTTTCCCGAATCCTTCAGAAAAATTCAAATTCGGCAAGAAAATGAAAAAGTGACCATTTTACCCTGGGAGGTTTATAAAGGGCAAGTGTTAGAGGGGAAGGGCATTTTGATCATTTTGCCCTAATTTTTGAGTTGGACAATTTTGCCCTTGGAATTTTATGAAATTCCCAAATTGCCCTCGGATATTTTTGGAAAAGATTCGATCTGGACCGTCGATCTCAAGATAAGATCGAATCTCGACCGTTGATTTGATTTGGGAGAGAAGGCAAGATGGTCTTTTGGCCCTCAATTATAGCCTGGGACTATTTAAGTCCAATTCTCACACTCTCTCTCTCCTCATTCTCTCTCCATTTCCTTCAGCAAATGCCTCCTCCTCACCGAACCAACCGCCCCTCCCCCTTAGCCACGCCACCGCCGCTCGCCCGCCACCACCGCTCGCCGGCCATCGCCGCCGTGCCGCCGCCACCCGTCACCGAGTCACCAGCCCCTCACGCTGCCTTCCCTCTCTCTCTCTCTCTTCCTCTCTCATGGCTGTGAACCGTGGCAAGGAAGCCGCCATCCAGTCCATCCGCCGCTGCTCGCCGCCGCTGCCGAGCCGCTCGTCGCCGCTTACCGTTGACCTCCGCCCGTTTTCCGCTCTAGCCGAGTTAGTCTAGAGTCTGATAAGTCACGCCCCAAACTCTATTTAGGACTTCGGGTATCGATGGACGAAATTAGGGGTGGAATCGGGTTTAATTAGACGCGATTTTGGCGAAATTCGGGGCTGTTTATGGATTAATTGTGTGGACTGATTTAGGGGCTGGTATTGACTGATTTTGAGAATGAAATTGTGAAGTTTCGGGCTGAATTGAGGCCGAGTTCATTACTGGAAATTGGGATTTGTAGTGACGAGCCTACAGTTGGATTTAAGGGCTGTTGGTGTCGGTTTAGTGCGTGGTATGGTGGCTGAAATGTGAGGTTCGTTATGGCTTGAATTGAGTGACAAAATGTTGAAATTGTGCTTATGAAAGTGGCTGTGTTTGTGGGCCCATGAGTGGCCTTGCGTGTTTATTGTACCGTGACTTAATGGATTGAAATATGCTTTGTTATGGGCAAAAGGACACTATAAGTGCCATAACTTGTGTACAGAGATCACTTTGGTGCCATAACTTTTTTTCGGATCACTTTGGTGCCAAGTCGGAGGAAAAATGATCAATTAAGTGTCATAAGTTTTTTTTGGATCACTTCAGTGCTAAAATTTTTGAAAAACGATCACTTAAGTGCTAAAATTTTTTAAAAACGATCATTTAAGTGCTAAAATTTTTGAAAAATGATCACTTAAGTGCCAATCTCCGGCGAGCCACGTCAGCTTCAGAAATTAATAAAAAAAATGCCACGTCGGATTTCCGGAGAAAAATTATGTACGGCACCGGAGTTGGCACTTAAGTGATCATTTTTCAAAAATTTTAGCACTTAAGTGATCGTTTTTCAAAAATTTTAGCACTAAAGTGATCCAAAAAAAAGTTATGGCACCAAAGTGAGCGCCGTACACAAGTTATGGCACTTGTAGTATTCTTTTGCCCTTTGTTATGTGCACGCCTGGGCCGAATTGAATTAATTGTCAATTGGCCGTGTTGAATGCTTATTGAGCATGAGAAATGTGTGTGAATTGGTGCATGCAAGGGCCACGTGTGATTGGCCAATTTATTGACAAGTGGGTGTTGAGCATGTGAACGAGTGAGAAAGCGGTGCGGTGTGATACGTGTGATAATGGGAATCCCTGAGGCGGTACCATTATGCGGGGATATTTATCCGTCGTGAGGCGGTACAACTACGCGGGACGATGCCCGGTATTACCAGAGGACGGCCAACCTGAGGCAGTACCATTACGCGGGTTGTGTCGTAGGTGGTAGGTGTTGAGCCTGAGGCGGTACCACTACGCGGGCAAGATACATGGCCTGAGGCGGTACCACTATGCGGGCCGAGAAGTGTTGTGAATATAGCCAACCTCAGGCGGTACCATTACGCGGGTTGTGCACTATGTGACGGATGTTGAGCCTGAGGCGGTACCACTACGCGGGCAAGATACATGGCCTGAGGCGGTACCATTACGCGGGTCACTAGCGAGTTAGGTGGAAAGAGTGTGATGAGGCCGGAACGAATGTATGAAATAAAGTTATAACGTGCATGTGATTGGCAATGGTGTGGTTGTGACTAACGTGCAGGTTGCACGCTGGAAAGGCCAAGGTAAGCATAATTGTGTGCCTGCTATGCGATGGCTGAATGTGATTGTGTTTGTGGTTGTCTGGAGGTACATGATAGCCTAGGTGGGGTTTAGGGTGTGTGCTTATTGAGATGTAATCTCATGGTTGTTTCAACCACTAATTTCAGAACCCCGGCCTAAGCAATGAATCCGCCACCGCCGCCACCTGAGCATTTTGGAGTACCGATGCACACCGACCACAATGTCGTAGAGTATCCTATAGATGAGAATATGACCTGGGTTAAGCATACGACAATAGTTTGGGTAGACATAGGACTACCCCTCTGGCAGTCCGATACCTACACTGTGTGGTTCTTCCGAGAAGGGGTAGATGAGTTCGGTCCCGTCCGAGGATTTGACGTCCCCTTTGATGGAGTTGGGGATTGGGACCCGTCTGCTATACCTCCGCCCGACGGCGAGATGACTAGTTTGGAGACTAGTCTAGCGCAGTCTGGACTGCAGCAAGCGCCTGCAGCACCTGAGCCTTCGGGGGCCGAGCACAAACCAGAGCTTGAAGAATCGCAGGCGGGGTACCATCCGATGGACGTGGATCTTGAGGCGATCTCGGAGGAAGAGCCAGAAGAAGAAGAACCCGAGGCAGAACCTGAGGATGAGCCTGTTGAGCTTGAAGAAGAACCGGAGTATATACCCCCATATGAGCAGTGGATTGACCCCGAATTTGTGCCGGAGGATGAGTCTGATGAGGAGCCTGTTGAAGAGGAGCGGGATGAGGTTCCGGCGGAATCGGGTGATATAGACCACCCGATCGTGATCGATGCTGAGCCGGAGTCTTCAAAGGAGCAGACAGTCCAGGGGGACTCAGACTCAAGCGCTGAAGAATCAGACTCGGAATGGACGCCAAGTAGAGGGCGTAGGGGTTAGAGTAGGGGTTGGGAATAAGCTTTTTGGAGTGTGTCATTTTTTATGATAGAATACCCAGGTTATCGATCTTTTTGGTTATCGATGGTTTATAGTTCGGTGTGCATATGTATATGGTGGTTTGTAAATTGTGAATATTATATATAAGTTTGAATGAGGAAATGGATATGTGTATTCTCCCTATTTACCCCAGTTATTATTGTCCGGGTATTTGTGGTTTCCGCTGATCGTTTTAAATCTCTAATAAGTTTAACTGGGTCGGCGATACCCTGGGACATCGCATTATTCGACCGGAGAAGTGTGTTGCGTCCTCGATGGGGTTCGGGGCGTGACAACAGTGAGGTAAGTAAACACCCAAGTATTAAAAGCGTCTAAGTAAATGTGCGGGAAATGAAAACCCGATACAAGTCGGGCAAAGAATACACATAGCTTTGTTGTTGAGTTTCGGGACATGAACCCCCATAAGCTTGAAATTAGAGACTAAACCTATCTATGGTGATCCTAAATCTACCCATATTATGATGGTGAAGCTAGTCTAAGCCATTCTAACTAGCTATTTAGAAAGTGGTTCTAAGTCTATTTTGACTTTATTGAATGGAAACCAAGCTAACCTAAGTCCACTAGCTAAACTATCTTAATCAGAATTAAACTCGCCTAAACCAAGCTGAACTGATTGTCGCCATGGACCACCACTCTTGGCCTTCGGTCTTCGGGGAGTTCATAATCACCATCGCCATTGGTATTGAACATCCATCACATCTAACATTCACGTCATGCAAGCAACCAAACTAGCCAATCAGCAGGTTCAGCAATCGACAAATAACAAAGCAATCCGGCTCGGGAATCTAAATTCGCCTTTACGATTCAATTAACCCCAGCCACCTCCTAATCGAACTAAAGGTTTATTAACTATGGCTAATGATCATTAACCCCCACTTGCGTTTATAAGGCAGTAGGCTAACATCATCAACCCCTAATTAACTTCTAGTTACCTTCTTACTCTACCCGGCCGAAAGGCATGCATGGAAGTCCTAACATTCATCCAGGCATTCACATGCAAAATCGAGTAAAACATGCTATTAGGCATACAAGACAAACACTAAACAAACAAATGGGGGCACTAATTACACTAAAAAGACAAGAAGTGATATTTTCCTAACCCAATTTCTACTTTTAAATTTTCGAATTTTTTTAATTTTAAAAAAATAATAAAAATAAAAAAATTTATTATTAAAAAAAGGACCTGAGTCGGGTCCTTAAACACGGTCCGAGCAAGGCACGAACCAGGGCTCGCCAGCCTGGGCCTTTGATCTGACAGGGCTTAGCACATGAGCCCAGTCTAGCCTAACCCAATCTTCTCCAAACGACGCCCTCGCCAACTTGGCTCCACCTCCAGCGGCCTTCGACTCTCGCCGTCGACCCACAGACTTTGGCCGCCTCACCTCGGCGACCAGGGACGTCCTCTTCAACTCCTGCCAGTGATGAACCGACGACATCCACACAACGGCCACGAACGGCGGTCCATAGCCTCTGCCACAACGAACCGACCGATCACTCTACAAGCAAAAATCAGCCAATGCGTGGATTTGAGGGACGAACACACACGAATGCCGAGCCCAAAGGGTGAGGCGTTGTTCCCTCGTCCTTAGTCGTTCAACACGGAGAGAGCAGGCAACAAAGACAAAGAAGAAAACGACCCACAAAGAAAACGAGGGCAAAGAAACACCATAAAGGAAACACGCCTAATGACTAACCAAAGCAATGATGAATTGCAAACGTGTGAGTTACCCTCGAACTAGACGGAAAATGCAGTGTTCTTACAGCCTCACCTTAGAGGCATTTCATCAAACACTTGATAGGCACATACTGAGGGAAGGTAATGAACGCTATCGGGACTCAGATTCGTAACGGAAACTCAAGAAAAACACCCAATAACACTCAAAAAAAGCACAAGGATGACTCATTCATACTCAGTACAAATGTGAACCGGCGACAGCAAGTCGATGGAAAGGCTCCGAGTGCTCCAGGCGATAGAGACGCTATGGGTGCTCTGTGCGAAAGAAATGCTCTGGGTGCTCCGAGCGAACGGGAGCTATCCAAGCTATGATGGTGCTCCGGTCGAAGGGAAATACTTCGAGTGCATCGGGTGAACGGGAACGATACAGGCTACGATGATGCTCCGGTCAAAGAAAATGGTCCGGGTGCTCCGGGCGAAAGAGATGGTCAGGTAACACACAATAACATGCAAGACCGCCTTCATGAGTTTTGGCCAATCTATAACATGCCAAACGAGACTGGATTGGACATCAGTCTTTAACCTCTATTTCATGAATTTTGGCCACTTCCTCCATGGACCACCTCGATGGTGTCGTTTTTGATTGACTCATACATTTCAAACAAGTAACATGCAAGCAAACAATCAAGGCAAAGCAAGAACACCCAATTATCAAAACAATGAATTGGCCTCGGCATTGGCCTTTACCTTTTATGCATTTTGATTATCCCAACTTAATGACTAAAGTTCATTGATTAACGGTTAATGATGATTGGCCACCATTTTCATTCACATAACGATAGTCAACGTCGCTTAACCCCTAAGTTTGGTTCTAAGTTATCCCAATCGGTCACCCATCGAGCATGCATTGCAGCTATCCATTCATCTAGCATACACATGCATAAGCGTCAAATTAAACATACAATCAGGTCATTTGACCTTGATTCACAATCAATCACACAAAGGAGAAGTGAACCTACGAAGGGTCGCTTATTCAATTTAGTCTCAAATACAAACTGATTTTATTTCAATTCAATTAACCTAACAAACAAAGTCCAATTGACATGCTTCAGGTGTCATTAGAAAGCTTAGGATGTGAATTTTAAAGTTCATGATGACCACTTGACCTGGTTCTGGCCCGAAAAACCCAAAATTCAATAAATTGGCCCAACGGTCCAGATTCGGACCCGGTTTTGACTAGTTTTCCAAAAACAATATGGGAAAACTATTAAACGACTTTCAAATCCCGTCAAATTTTACAGGTGATCAGATTAACATATCCCTAACAACTTTTGTGTTTTTACCTTTCAAAAATTAGTTATAGATTCTTCCCAATAAATCAATTATTTACATCTGCTCAACTGAATTCTGTTATAGAAGCCAAACTGACCTTTGTCGCGCCGCGCTTCTTGTTGGGACTTTCGGGATTTGCGCGCTAAGGAGGTATTTCCGTGTAAGGGTCTCTCCCAGACCATATCTCACATGACAGCGGATGGTATTTTCCTATTTAGTCTAAGTTTGTGATTTTGGAGTCGCTACTAGTCATTATTGGTAGGTAGAGTAGAAATCTAATCGGGGTATGGGAGAAATACCACGATTATACGAACCGGAGATTCCGAGTACGGGGACTTGATTACGTTATTGATCCCAAATTGAGATCCCCAACGCCCTTTCGGTACCTAAGAACGATACGATATCTAACATGTCATGCAAATTTCCGAGGCTTACCACTAATTCTATCCATTCTAATCACGGGAAAAAACCAATCAAGTATTAAATGTGTAATCAATGTCAATCAGATCAATCAATCCTAAATGGTCTCTAAAAATGAAAATCAATCGAAACATTCAAACCTTAATGAAGCTCTAGAAGCTTATTCATTTCATGATTTACATTTTCTAGGGTTTTAGGGTTTTTTAGGGGTTATAACCCCTGAATTTGAGATTTTCTAAAAATGCCACTTGGGCACTTCCAAAAAATTCAAATTTCACTTTCTAAAGTTGGCCACGGTGTTTTTGAACCATTCTGTGAATTTTTTAAATTTTTGAAATTTTTGATTTTTTTTGGAAATTTCATTAACCGAGAATTGATTTTTATGATTTTCTGAAAATTTTTATGAATTTTCCAATTTTTCAAATTTTTATTGATTTTCTAAATTTTTCACATTTTTTATTTGTATTTTCTGAATTTTCTGAATTTTTTGAAAGTTTTTTGAAAATTTTTTAATTTTTATGAATTTTCTAATTTTTTTTGTGTTTCTGTGAATTTCTCATTTTTCTGAAATTTTTTGAATTTCTCAAATTTTTATATATATTTTTTATTTTTTTTACTTTTCTGAATTTTTTATTTTTATGAATTTTTTATTTTTTTAGATTATTTTTTTTATTTTTTTTAAATTTCTTGCCAAGAAAATGAACCGGACCGACCCGGTTCAACCCAATTCGGCTTGACCGAGCTAGGCGTCACCGGCGCCGGTCGCCGGTGGTCTTCTTCGGCGGGCGCGACGCCAAAACGGCGTTGTTTTGCCTCCTGTTTATTGAGGCATTATGTCGAACAGGTGGTGTGCACAGTTTTGTATTCAATATTTTCAAGGCCGTGACTTTGAGCCTGCCGCCAACAACCTTCCGATGCCCTTTTTTGATTGATTTTTGGTTCTATATAAGGTTCATATCACCCTCTATCAAACTAAACCAACTGATTGGCCGTCGGACCGTCACCAACCGGCGAAAACCTCGCCGAAAAATGTTAATTTGTTGACAACCTAAATCATGCTCATCAAAAACTCAAAATCCCTATTCTATTCGCCTTAACCGTCTAGTTCGGTTCAAATCAAGGAAAAAAACATCCAACAATTATCAAAGAAGGCTAACTTGAAAGGCTTATGGCCATAAGACGCTCCGGCGAAGGTCTCCCAAGCTCCGGTGAAGGGTTTCAATGATGATCGGGATGATTTTATGCATACTTGACGGTCAAAATGCAATCAAACATCATGAAAAATGATTAGAAACATATTCTAGTCATCAATAAACTCAATCTTAAGAAAGAAATCACACGATTAGCGAGATTGAACTTAAGTTCATCATTTCTCAAATATGGAAAACTGTGACTGGGATTGATTTTTACCTGTTTCGTTCGACAATCACACGACTTCTCCGAACCGATTTTCTGCTGCAGAGTCCTTCTCTGACACCCAGGCTTCAAGTAGGTGGTCTTGGCTTCGCCAGAAGAG